AAATTCCCAAAATTTTTGCCTGCGGCGCTGAAAAGGAAAGAAATCTGGCTTCTTTGTTTTCCAAAATTCACAAAATTTTCGCCTGCGGCGCTAGAAATGGAAGAATATGTGAAGTTGAAGTATAGAAGATTTCGGCGATCTACTAGGATCATGCTGAATTTGAAGAGATAACGAGGGATTTGCAATAATAAATAGAGATATCAATGAGAGATATCAATGGATCTGAGTGATTAATGTTTCATAGGGGGGTGTTAATACTAATAGAGGGGATATGAAGAGATATGAGGCTAAATCACCAAAATTCCACCGTAATTGAACGTAAAAATATTTTTTTATTTCACTCTCTTTTCCTCTATTTAACTCCAATGGACTCAAATTATCATTGCCACAGTCAAAAATTCTGAAAATATAAATTTGTTTCGGACACGAGTAGCCTAAATTTTAGGTTCGGATATCGGATTTGGATATCCGAGAAGACTATCCGACTATCCGATAACCTTATCGGAGAGTCTGGGACGATAATGATGTTAATCTCATTATTTTTCGTTTTTCTTTCTCGTGAGAACGATTTATATTTAGTAGTATTTTTCACCTCCAAAATTCTGAAAATTTTTGCATGCAGCTCAAAAAATGGAAGAAATCTGACTCCTTGCTCTACAAAATCTCAAAATTTTCGCCTGCGGCGCTAGTAAAGAAGTGTCTGGCTTCTTCACCTTCCAAAATTTTCAATATTTTCGCTATGCAAAAAAATCTGAATTTTTGGCGCCGAAGCCAAAATTTTTTTTATTGGTAATTCCCGACTCCCGATCCCGACTCCCGAGGTCATTTCCCGACCCGACTCCCGTTTCCCGATTCCCGGGTTTTTTCTTCTCCCGAGCATCACTAATATCCGCCTGTATCCGCCGTAAACATCCAAATACGGATACCAAAATCCATGTACATTACCAAGTCTGATAAAGAGACATGGGGTTGATAAGGGGAGGGATTCTAGAAATGAAATAAAGGTGAGGAGCGGATATGTAGATCCTCGCAAAAGGTTACGAGAAAAATCACAAAATAACTCAAGACTCTAATATCCCATCTGTCAATATTTCATCATACCCTCTCTCTATTTTTTGTTACTTATCTAGTACTATAGGGGATAGTTAGCTTATGCTTTTTAGCCATTCCAAGTATTCAAGTAGGTATTTTCTTTCCTGAGGCTATTTAGCTAATATATCCCCTTTCTTCTTTCTCTCTCTACCTCCTCCACATCCTCCTTCCTCACATAAAGCATTAAGCACAAAATTATATAAAATTAAATTATTCAATACCCAGTCTTTATTTTAACCCTTTTCGGCGCTGTAGAAAGGGCGTCAAGAGGAAATTACAAGAAAGGGTCCGCGCCAAAAATAGCTGGCGCCCAAACGTCTGTATTATTTTAATGAAAAATTATGTGTAGAGAAAAAAGTAACGGCAAAAATGCCAAAGGCAGATGTTATAATAGAGTAGAAGAAGTGCTTCTTTTAAAAAATACACATTTGCAAAACTAAAATTAATAGAGAAAAAATTTTTAAAGTACTAATAAAAAAATGTGAAAATTGTGTGAAAGTCATATGAAAATATGATGAAAATTTAATGAATTAATTTTTATATAAAAATGTTTTTTTAAGGAATTGAAGATAAATTCAGGATTTTAGCAGGAAAAAAAATATATAAAATGTTTGAAATTCAATATACACACACACATTTAGGCAAGGAGAAGATATATGTATACTAGAGATCAGACTTGGAGTGTCGTAGAAGAATCGAGATTAATATCTCGAAAATATAACCGAGATTTTTGACAGAGATCTTTAATATATAGAATCGAAAAGCTTATAAAGTATCGTTGTTGCAAATTTCTTTACAAAAAATAAAAATGTTACGAAATAACTCAAAAGTTAAACTCAAGGAATGCTCATTATTAAGGTTTCAATCCAAGTAAAATATCAACAAAAAAAAAATAAAAATTTATTTTTTACCCTTTAAACAAGCTTGCAAATGTAGTAGAGATTAATGATCCTCTATCTCCACCTTTTTTAGTTCCATTTTTATTTTTCTGACATTTTTTATTATTTCGTTTTTTATTATTTAAACTGCCACAACGAAAAATAAGGTAATCTGAGAGGTATCACGACTTTTGCGCCGAGAACATTTGCGCCGCGACTTATGCGCCGCGACTTTTGCGCCGGGCGACTTTTGCGCCGCGACTCTTGCGCCGCGACTTTTGCGCCGGGCGACTTATGCGCCGCGACATTTGCGCCGCCATTGTTTAGAAAATCCGGATCCGAAAAATGCCGGATATCCGAAATTTTCAGTTTGGATATCAGATCCGAAGATTTCCAACTATTCGAAAACCCTACTAAAGTGAGGTCCGGCTGTAGTTATTGATATATTTTTAATGATAGTGGCGGCGCAAAAGTCCCCCGGCGCAAAAGTCGCGGCGCAAAAGTCCCCCGGCGCAAAAGTCGCTCGGCGCATAAGTCGCGGCGCAAAAGTCGCGGCGCATAAGTCGCGGCGCAAATGTTCTCGGCGCAAAAGTCACGGAACCATCTGAGAAGCGTCTTCCTCTTACTCGCCCACCACAAAATCCTTTTCTTGTATCTTCATCATTTTGGCAAATATTATCACAACACATTTTTTTAATAAATAAAGGGGGATATAAAAAAATAAATCTAAAATAGATTTTAAAATAGTTTTTTTTTTAATTTTTGCACGACTAAAAAAATTAATGGAAGGAAAAATTTAAAAAAATATAAAAATTAGAGAGCGGGTTGAATCCGGACCTTTATTTTTCCTGGATCCAGAATTCAGATCAAGGTATTTTCAGCGTTCCTAGATTTTTCCTTAACTCAAGGTCAAAAATCTGGTCAAGCTACCCAACCGAAATCAAGGTAAAGGATCAAAAGATCAAAGTTTTTTTTAAAAATCTCGCTCTCTAATAAAAATAGAGACAGAACTGGTAGACGTACTAGATACACCTCGAAAAATCTTATTTCGCTAACCAAAAATTTTTCTTCCTCATCTGATCCTGTGTTTAATAAGAAAAAATAAAATAACCCTTAACTTCCTAAAATTATGGCCTTAAAGAATTATGGCCAATAAGGACCGGAAGGGTCCTATAGCTGTTTATATTTATACTCTGTGTAAATTAGGTTTTCACAGATCAACCGAAAATTTTTTTTGGCGAATTCGATTAAATTTTTTTAAAAAAGATTTAAAAATTAATTTTATATGCGTATTTAACAGAGATCTATTTTTGATAAAAAAATTCGCCGAAAAAAAAAATAAAATTTTTTTTCAACTCATTTAAACAAAAATCTATCTATTTTTATGTAAAAAAAATTTAAAAAAAAAAATTCGGCAAATAAAAAAAAATACGCACATAATAATTTTAATTTTTAAATAAATAATAAAAATAGATGGGTATACATAATTAGTAAAAAAATAAATTTAAAGAAAAAAAGGAAACAATAAACAAAATATAATTTTGGGAAATAACCCCCTCTCCCCTTACTTTTAATTACTAAGTGTTTGTCACAAAAATTTAAAAAAAATTAATTTAATTTTTTTTAAAATAATCAAGAAAATAGTCAAAAAAATAAAGGAGGTGAAGGTTAAAGTGAAGAAAAAAAGACGAATATTGAAGAAGAAAAAAAATTAAATTGCGTCATCAAATCACTCGCCGCTATCCTCCTCCTTTACCTCTTCCCCCTACTTCCATATACCGTTAATTCCCCTCCATTAAACTTTTAACTACTCCGCGCGGAAAAAAAATAAAGAATAAAATTTTTTGTGTCATTAAACGTGTTTATATATATATTGAATTTTGTTTTTACAAAATAAAAATTAGAGAGATAATTTTAAAGGTAAGTAAATAAATAAAAAAAGAAGATATATGTTAGTAGCAGAATTTTTGAGAATTAAAAAAATAAAAAAATATACCTAAGTAATTAATCAGAATTAATAAAAATTGCAAGTATAAATAATTAAATATAAGAGAAAAAAAATCAAGTTTGTAATTTGTTTAAAAATACAAACTTGAAAATTGTAAATTCTGGTTTTTTAAGTTTAAATTCTGATTTGTGTTTTTATAACAGCTATTCTGGTCAAGTTTATTTCTGGTTTTATGTTTAATTAAAATTCTGATTTTTTTCAAGTTTATCAGAATTTCAAGTTTATTTATTTCTGGTTTTATAAGTTTAAATTCTGATTTGTAATTTTATATTTCAAGTTTATTTTCTGATTTAAAGTTTATTTTTTTTCTAATATTAATTTAAGTTTATTTAATTCTGGTTTTTATTTAATTTGAATTCTGGTTTTTTTCAAGTTTATTTATTTTTGGTTCTATTTAATAAATTCTGATTTGTATTTTATTTTACAAAATTCTGATTTTTAATTTCATGTGTTTTTAAAATAATTCTGATTTTTTAAATATAAATATTAATTTCCCCACCGAATAGATGTACGTTTATTGTTGCTGCTATTTGGCGTAGAAGCAGTTTCGTCATGAGCATGTGAAGTGGAAGGTGTTGGTTGGTCTGAAAAAATATAAAATATATAAATATTTAAAATAAATTAAATAAAATTAATAAAAAGCACCATTTTTTGAAAAATTTTAAAATTAAAAAAAATTTCTTTTTAATTTTAATTTTAAAATTTGCCTCACTTATTTTTATATACACTCAAATGTTTATTTTTTTATAAAATTAAAAAATAATAAAAAAAATTTTATATTTATCGTTGCATATTTCTGTGTAAATTTTATAATGCAAACAGAAATCCACTTATATTTTTCCAAAAAATAGCCAATTATCCGATCATTTTTGGGTCGTAAATTCGCAATATACCTATATAACTGTGAATGAACAAATTCCAAAAATATCAAAAAAAAATATTTTCCAAAAAAATTTCTCCCAAAATTTCTAAAATTAGGGTTTTCATGGAAAATTTTTATATATCCGGAACAGAATCTAAAATTATCCTCGGCTCCTCAGTTCGATTCCTAACCTAAGCCCTTTTTTCAAACCATTTAAATTAGAAGATAAAGTAGTTAATTCTACAGTACTCGTCCTTCTTGTATTATTATTTAAATTTAAATTATTATTATTTGTTGTTGCTTTTCCATTAGAGTTGTTTGGTTCAGTTGTAGTAGATGTTGAAAACCATTTTTTTCTATTTAATGCAAAACTAAAGCGTTTTTTGGTTGGTTTCTCCTCCTCCTTAGCTTGATTTTCGGCTTGATTTTCTTCTTGATTTTCTTCTTGATTTTCTTCTTTATTCTGGTCTTTCTGTTGATTTTCTTGCTTTTCTAAGGCTATATGACCTCCATTTCTTCCAGAATTTCTTCCTGAATTTCTTCCCTCATTTCTTAAAGGTGATTGGCATTTACTGGAGGTTGAACACCTCCTCTCTCCTCTCCCCTTCTTCGTCCCCTGAGGAGAAAATGAGGGAAATCTACAAGTATTAAAAGACGATTTTTTGACCAAATTTGTATGTTTTGAAACAAATGAAGCTGCAGCCGATTCACTTATTCCACTAAATATGGCGGCTGCTGAAAATTTTTTTCGATGGTAGGAAGGGGTAGAAGTTGATGTATTTGGGGAGGATGTTGTGGTTGTATTTGATGTGATTGATAATTTATTATTATTATTTGAAGAAGGATTGGGGTTGGTGTCTTCTATAGTTTGTGAACGCTCGATTTTTCTGAGCGGCATTTTTGTGTGTATTTTATTTTATTTTTCGGAAAAAATTTTTTTGTTAATTTTTAAATAAAAATTAATAAAAGGAAAAAAGTATATTGAAAATAATCTCTTAAATAAATACAATCTAAGAAAAAAAAATTTTAGAAAATAAATTCTTAAAGGAAGGCGTAAAAAGAAATAATGCAAGTAAATTAGCCTCAATCTTAGAATTTATGGAAAAATATAATAGTCCATGAAAGGGCTAAACCCCCAAAAAATTACCAAGAAAGATCAATGGGTTCCACAATTTGTATTTTTAAATTGATAGTATTAGGGATATAAAAAATTAGAAAAAACATATCACCAATCTTCGGATTGGGTTTCGGGCAACTAAAAACGTCTTGGTATAAATTAAAGATCGAAACAAGAAAAAATCGCAAAGTGATCTCATTTATCCCGAATTCTCTCGTAAAACCCGTGCAAATCAGGGCTGAGCGTTATGGCCTTGGGAGCCAGTTTGTCCTATTTTTGACGTATGGTGTGTTTCTAAAATTTGAAAAAGTAGCGCTTAGCGTTTGGCGTTCCACGCGAAAATTTTGGCACACATCCCTGAACGGAATCCGACTGTAATTAAATTTAAAAAAATCCCCCCAATTTAAAAATATATTTATTTCATTTTCATCCAAAAATAAATTTAAAAATCATCGATTAAGAGAGAGAAGCGCTTAGAAGAAAAAAATTTAGAAAGAGCTTTGCTATACTATCATATGAAGGATTTTTTAAAAAAGCTTAAAATGAAACGTTCATCATTTTAAAGATGATAACAAAGCAAATAAACAAACAAACAAAAAAAATGTGCGCAAGCAAAAGTATTTTTGTAGAAGAAGATGTGAAGGAAAAAGTAAGAAGGAACAGCTGTAAAAATTAAAAAATAAAAGGAGTTGTGAGATTTTTAGGTAGAAATTTTCATTAAAAAATTTAATGAAAAAGAAAAGTTGATAATAAAAAAATGAAAAACTTGGAAACTTGGAAAAAAAACTTGGAAAACTGGGGAATTTTCAAAAAATCTCTCAAGTTCCCCGACTTTCGGGGACGGGGAAACCCAAGTAACTATCAACAGCTTTTCTGTTAAAAAATAAAAAAAAATGACGAAAATATAAATGAAAGCTAAATCGGATTTTCTCTCCTTTTCTTTCTTTCACTCGATTAAAAAAAATTTTTTTAAAGAGCTTTTTATATGTAAAAAATAAACGTTAGAAAAGAAGATGAGGAAGAAGCATAGCGCAGTAAAAAGAGGAAAGAAGAAGATTCTTTGAAAAAAAAAATATTTTTTAAAGAAGCTTAGAGAGCGAGAAAAATTGAGGAAAACGAGAAATTTTTTTATCAAGTTAAATATATAAAATTTGGCCTTTTTTCTGTGTTTATTTTTCTCTGAGTTTTGACTTTTCCTTCTTCCTATACCCTCAAAAATATTTCTCTTTTTTCTTTTCAATTCTTAAAACATTTAAAAAAAATTAAGGAAGAAATTTTTTGAAGGGAATAGAAAAAAAAGAAGAGAGAAAAGGGGTAGAAGGAGATAAAGCGCTATTGCCAGCTAAAGATATAAATAAAAAATAAATAAAATCAATTAAAAAAATATTAATTTTTTTAAAAAGCTTATATAAAAATTTTAAGGGGAAAGAAAAAGAGAAGAGATTATTGAAATGAGAAAAAATTAATTTGTTTAATGAAGAATTTTGTCGGTGCGATCCCTGTAGTATACCCCCACAGTCCTATGAAAACCCTTGACGAGGCTTTAAGCAGAAACATGATTTAAAACTGAACAGAGTTGTGCACCAAAATTTTCGCGTAGAACGCCAAACGCCAATTTTTAATTTTAAAAACACGCCAAACGCAAAACGCCAAAAATCGGCCAAAAATGGACGCCAAACGCCATGACGCTCAGCCCTGAACCTGAGAAGGCTCACTATATCTCGGTAAACCCTTCAATTCCCGACAAACACAAAACCCCTGATTTTTTATTGATAAGAATAAATTTATAAAATGGGGTGATAAATAAAATTTAATGAATAAAATTTTTAAATATTACATAATAATAAAATAAAAATAAAGAAAAAAAAATTTTAATAAATAGCAAAAGAAAGGAAAAATAATTAATAAATTAATAATAATATTTTTATTTTTATTAAAGTGCATTTTTCTTAATTCCCATGGATAAAAAAATAGATAAATCCCATGAGAAAAAAAGAAGGATAAATGAAAATGTGTTAAATGAAATAAATAAAAAATAAAGATAAATTAAATATATTATTATTTAAATAATAGCAAAAAATATTAATAATTTTTCTTTTAAATTTTTAAGAAAAATTAATATTAAAATATACAAATTCTGATTTTAAAAAAAAATTTTGAATTTAATTAGCATGTATTTTACAACAATTCTGATTTATAAAATAAAGCAGGATTCTGAAAATAAAGAAATAGAGAAATTCTGATTCTGAAAAAAAATAATAAAAAAATTCTGAACATAGAGAAATTCTGATTCTGAAAGGATAGAAAATTCTGATTTTTAAAGAAGAGAAATTCTGAAATAGAGAAATTCTGATTCTGAAAGGATAGAAAATTCTGATTTTTAAAGAAGAGAAATTCTGAAATAGAGAAATTCTGATTCTGAAAGGATAGAAAATTCTGATTTTTAAAGAAGAGAAATTCTGAAATAGAGAAATTCTGATTCTGAAAGGATAGAAAATTCTGATTTTTAAAGAAGAGAAATTCTGATTCAGAAAAGGAAATATAAAAAATTCTTATTTTTATAAAATTCTGAAATAGAAAAATTCTGATTCGAAAAGATAGATAATTCTGATTTACAAAAAAAAGCATAATTCTGATTGTTAAAAAAAAATTCTGATTTTTCTGAAACAAATTTTTATTTAAAAACTTGAAGCATGCAGAAAGACACATCAAAAGCTTGCAAATAAACAAAACAAAAAATAGATAAAGCAATTATTCTAATAAATTCATGCTCGCTAATTTTATTAGGACAAATTAGAATAAAAACAAAGAAAAATTAACAAAAAAAAATAAAAAAGAGGAAGCTAAAAGTGTGCCTCTTTCCAAGAGAATAAAGGAGAGGATCTTCCCCCACTCTTTTTTTCTACTTTGTGCGTGCTTAACGGGCCATTTCATGTCCCATTTCTTTCCTTCATTTTCTCATTTTCAAGTAGAAAAAAAATACAAAAAATGCCAAAAAGAAAGAAAAAAAGGTAAGTAGATAGGTAAGAAGAAGCAAAAAATTTTTCTAGCTTTTTAGTGTGTGCTTTTTAGCTATTCAATAAATGTTAACAAATATATAACCAACCGCTTATAAATCAATAATGTGGCAAAAATGTGAAGCATTTAGAGTTGTTGGAGGGGTTTTTTAAGAAAAAAAAAACTAAAAAAGAAAGAAAGAAGACGTGCAAAATATATAATTAAAAATGAAAGAAAGAAAAAATAATTTAAATAAAGGAATAAATAATTAAAAGAAAAAATTTTAGAGTGATAAAATGTTAAATGAAGCAAAATAACAAGAGAAATTTATAATTGAAGCAAAAGAATAAAAGTTGAAGCAAGTAGTGTTAGAAAAGTTGTAGCAAAATTCTGATTTTTAATTTCAAGTTTTAATTTAAGTTTTAATTCAAGTTTTATAAGAAACAAAACAAACATGAGCTTTAAAAAATCAGAATTAAATTAAAACACATTAAAACATAAATGTATAAAACCAGAATTTCAATAAAACATATTAATAAATTTTAAGTTGGAAAAATCAGAATTTAGTTAAAATACAATAAAAAAGTAAAAACAGAATTTCTGGTTTTTATAATTGTTTAAGTTTTATTTTGTTTTAATAAAATTCTGGTTTTTCTCTAGCATGTTTTATAAAAATTCTGATTTTTCCATTGTTTTAAAAAAATTCTGGTTTTTCTCTAGTGTGTTCTAATAAAATTCTGATTTTTAGTTTTAACGTGTTTCAATTTAATTCTGATTTTCAAGTAGCGTATGTTTTAATTTAATTCTGATTTTTTACACGTATGTTTTAACATGTTTTAATTTAATTCTGATTTTTTACATTTATGTTTTAACATGTTCAAATTTAATTCTGATTTTGAAATCATACCTAATTATTCAAAAACAGAATAAATAATACAATTGTAAAATTAAAGGAAGTTGAAACATTATATTATTGAAAATGGAAAGAAAAAAAAAGAGATGCGTGATATTTTATGTCATTTAAAGTAAATAAAAGAAGAGAAGAGAGAATTTTAAAAGTTACCTAATTTAGAAATAAAATTAGAAAATTTCCTAGAAGTTGAAAAAAATTTTTATAAAAAAAGACTAATTTTAGATGCTCAATTTTACACTTTTTTTTTGCAATTATATTAAGGAGAATCAAATTTTTTAGTTCCAAAAATTTATGAAAAATATAAAAAAAATTAGAGCATATATTATTTAGTAGAAGAAATAAATAAGAAGAAATAATTACCAGGTTCTTCCTACCGGGTAATAGAACCCCGAGCCGAGGGTTACCCCTTATTCCAGAAAAATTAACCCCGAACCCGATGATTACCCTTAGCTGCGGGTAAAGTAACCCACAACCCTCTTCTATGAATATCACCCCTGATAGTGTTATTTGAGGAATAATAAATTTAAATTAAATTAAGGTATACCTAGGTAATTTTAAAATGAAAAATGCTATAAGAAAAATGCTATAATTAATTTAGGTATACCTAGGCAATTTGAAAATGAAAAAAATAAGTGAAAAATTAAATAAATAAAAAAATTGTCAAAAATGATGTGGCAAAAAAAGCAAAGAATTGAAGAAAATAAAAAAAAATAAATTTAAAACTTGATTTTTATTTTGTTTCCTTTATCTCCAAAAATAAACTCTCCTTTTTTCTCTAGGGAATAAATGCCTTGTTTTGGAACATAAAAAGAAGGGGAAATGATTTATGAACAAATAAATTATGAATTGCGTAAAAAATGAATATTTCGATAATTTAAAAATGAAAAGAAAAAAAGAAACAAGAATTGTAAAAAAATAAATTACTAGTTAAGAAATTAAAAATTTTACAATTATATTTAAATTGTAATTTTTAATAAAAAGTTTTTAAGTTGTAAATTAATTAAGGTTGGAATTATTTAAAGTTGTAATTAATTAAACTTGGAATTATAATTAAACTTGGATTAAATAAACTTGAATTATTTCAAGTTGTAATTAAATAAACTTAAATTAATTAAACTTAGAATTAAATTTACAATTTATAATTAGGTACTTATCGGTTATCTCCCCACACATTATTTTCCTTTTTATTTCCCCTTCTCTTTCTTCCCATAAGTTACAAAAATGCCACATTTTCTTTCCCTTTTCCCTGTTCTTCTTTTCAATAATTACAAAAATGCCACATTTTTCCCTCTTCTCCTTCTTCCCAAAAGTTACAAAATGTCACAGCCTTCTATGTGTCACACCTTTTAACAACTATTTAAGTCCTGGTACTTGTATTTTCAAAGGGATTTTAAAGAAAATAGCAATTTTTGGCATCCTAAATAATGTTTTCAAATTACATTTCCCTCTTTTAAAATAAATTTATTAATTACAATTATTTGCCTGTGACGTTTTTGTAACTTTTGTGAAGGAGAAGAGGGAGAACAGGGAAAGAAAATGTGGCATTTTTGTAACTTATGGAAAGAAAGAGAAGGGGAAATAAAAGGAAAATAATGTGTGGGGAGATAACCGATAAGTACCTATAATTACTTCAAGTTTTATAATTTGTAATAATTAAAACTTGGAAATTACAATTACAAATTGTAAAAATAAAAATGAAGTTTTGCACATTACAATTGTAATTAACAAGTTGTAATTATTACAAATTATAAAACTTGAAATAATTACACAAGTTTATACAAAAATTACAAATTGTAATTTGCTTTTTAATTTAAATTAAATTTTATTACAATTTGTATTTTTTTAAATTTACCTAAAAAATAGGTGTAATATCGTCTAAAATTATTTAAAAGGCAGAAACATGCCTTTAAAATTAATTTTTCCCCCAAAAATGGTGCTTTATTTAAAAAATTATTAAAAGAAAAAATTTTTCAAAACCCACCAGGACTATCTAAAGGCGTCAATATCCGTTTAGGAACCATTCCTTCATTTTCTCTTTGATCAGATTTGTCCAAAACAGCTACTTTAACGAATTCATTATTGTTGTTGTTGTCTTCTCCAACATCACAATTATTTAAAATTTCAACACGTTGACCAGACAAAATTGTTAATTGTTCTGAATTGGAAGCAGTAAAGTCTTCTGTTGTTGTGTAGTATTGTTGTTGTTGTTGTTTGTCCTTAAAAATAAAGAAATTAGTTAATTGAATTAAAAAATAATAAAAAAATTTTCTAATTAAAAAATAAAATTAAAAAATCAAAAAAAAAATTAGATTAAAAATTGTGAAAAAAAATAAAAATCTTAAGATCTAAAAATAAATCGAAAATAGATTTTAAAAACATTTTTTAAAATTCAATTTAAAAAAATTATAAAAATAGTGTATTAAAATTTACCAACAAAATTTTAAAAAATCTAAAATTAAATATAAACTTAATTGTAAATATTTACAATTTTTACAATTTAATTTACAATTTTTAAAAGACATTTGTAAAACTTAAAGCTTGCTGTAAACTTGCTGCAAACCCTCAACAAAAAATAAAACTTTTTTTACAATTTGTAAGTTTTAATTGTAAAATTAAAACTTTTTATTTATACAACAATTAAAATTGTAAAAAAATTTTTACAAAACTTTTTACAATTTGTAAAAAGTTTTACAAATAAGTTTTCTTTTGTTTGCCGCACTTGTTTTTACAATTTGTATTTTTTATTAAACTTTTTTACAATTTGTAAAAAGTTTCATAATTAAGTTTATTTTATTTGCTTGTTTTTACAATTTGTATTTTTTATTACCCATTACTTTTACAATTTGTAAAAAGAAAAAAACGTCAACTAAAAAAGGCATAAAATTAATGCCTTAAAATTTTTTTTCAAATTTTTAATAACCTCATTATTTAAACAATTATTTTGTACAAATAACAATGAAGAATTATTTGAGCAATCATTAGTATTAGTAACCAAAAGTGTAATATCAGAGGAATTATTATTATTAGAATTATTAGTTGAATGACGAAAAGAACCGGTTAATTTACGTCGAGCTCTATCATAAAGATTTTCGGTATGGGAACGAAGTGTACGGAATGATTTTGAATAACTCAACATTTTTTTAAAAAATTTTCTTAAAAAGATTTTTAATTAAAAATATGAATGAAGGAAAAAAGGATAAATAAACTTATTTTACAATTGTAAATTTTTACAATAATTAAACAAACTTTTTTTACAAAAGATGAATAAAACTAAAGATCGGCCGGAGAGGTCGGTCGGTATTTTTCATTAAATATAGAAAAATATCGAAAAAGTCAAAATTTTCTCGGTCGGTATTCTATCGATAAATACCAAAAATAACAAAAAAAAACTGATTTTGAAAAAGAAAATTCTGAAAATTTGCAATAGCTAATTATAAGTAATATTTAATATAGGTAGTTTATCGTTAGTTTTAGACTCTCTTCGATAAGGCCCAAAATTTTTAAAAAGAAAATGATAATATTGGGGTATTTTCATGAAAAAATAAGGATGTTTCAAAAATTAATACCAACCATTAAATAAAAAAATATTTTTATTAAAAACCTAGCGGGAACTTGAGGGTATACATATATCATATTTTTAATCCCCTCCTCTTCCTAGTATTAAGTCTACAGAAAAATAAAAGTTCCTTTAAAGTTAAAAGGAACTCAATTAATAACACATATATTTCGGCCTAAAATTAAAGAAAAAATAAATTGAATATCTGTCTGATATCATTAAAAAATAAAAGAAAAAGTAAAAAAAATTTCACTTAATTAGGGAATCATAAGGCAAAGTCAAAAAATTCATTTTTTTGTTTAAATGGCAAAAAAACACAAGAAAAACGAGAAAAAATTATAACAATACACAAACAGAAAAATGAGAAGAAAGAAAATTTAACACACACAAGAGTATATTAGCTAGTATATTGGAGACAGAAATAAATAAAAAAATGAAAGGCTCTCTGGAGTAAGGGACTAGTAAGGGAGAGGGAGAGGTTGGTTGGAGGTTTGGTTGGTGGCAAGGGGGAGCAGGCCAACTTACCGCGAGCCCAACTTATCGCAGAGATATAACTTCGTTAAGAATTGTTAAATCCGGGAAGCCTGGGTATAGTTCGATGCGCCTCGACGAGCTGAATAGAACCATACCAGATCATCCCAGATTCGACCATTCTGAACAGAGTTATAGCTCTGCGGTAAGTTGGACTCGCGGTAAGTTGGGGTTCACCAAAGGGTGAGGGAAAGGTTAGTGTTGGAGGTTTGGTTGGTGGCAACGAAACAATAATGCTTTATACGCTGGAAAGACTTGGGGGGGGCTTTGGTAGAGCTAGCTGTTCACACACAAACAAATAAACACAAAAAAAAATAAGCGCAACGCCATACGAGATTTTTTTTGCTCGAATAAAATGGCAATTAGAGAGTGTATATAAACTAGCCATGAAATAACCCCCGCGGGGGGAGAGTAAAAATAAATAAAAAAATTTCTACTATCATATTGCTTATATGCGCCTCAAAAAGAGAAAGAAAAAAAAATTTAAAATTTATTCAGTTGACATAAAGCCTTTCTTTTTTGGTTTTTTTAAATAAATATTTATGGGGAGAGAAAGATAAGGCAACGAGAAAAAGCAAGCCCAATATGTTTTAAAAAGCAGCTAATATTTATTTTATAGAGCCAATTATTCGCCTAATTCTTAGAATATTCTGGTTTTAACGAAAAAATTCTGATAATAAATTCTCAATTAAAAATTTAAAAATAGAAGAAAAAATACAGAAGTTTGAAACAAATAAACAATGAGTAAAATTCTGATTTAATAATTCTGACAAAGAAATTCTGAAATGAATTCTAATTATTATTCTGAAATAAATTCAGATTATTATTCAGAAATAAAAATTCTGATTTAATAATTCTGACAGAAAATTCTGAAAATAAATTCTGAGGAAAATTCTGATTAAATAATTCTGGAATGAAAGTTCTGAGAAAAATTCTGGAATCCAATTCTGAAATAAATTCTGATTAAAAACAGCTAAAAGAATGCCTAATCTACTAAAAATTCTAATTATAATGATATAAAATGATAGTAAAAGAATAAAAATATTAGTAGTAGTAGCACTGCTATTAACCTTCTCTTTTATTTTCTTCGTTAAAAAAAAGGAAAAAAAAAGTGAAACACCAAAAATTTATACACATATATTTAGGTAATACCTATATTGGCCAACAAAAAAAAACTCGCGTTTCTCTACGAGATTTTTAAAAAAAAAAATTTCTGTTTGTTAAAGTCAATGCGCTCTACTATGCATTTAAAAAAATTATTCAATGGTTCGGAGAAAAAAAGGTGTTTTTAATTTTAAATAGGCAGAAAAAAAAAGAGGAAAAGCCTAGAGGAAAGGCTAAATGTGTTAAAAAGAGTAAGAGAGACTTTTTGACCTAAATCCTTTCCATATTTTTAGAAAAAAAATTATAAACAAAAAATGAAAATGAATAATTTTTAGAAGAAAAAAAGAAGGAAGATTATTAAATAAATATGAGAGTAGTTAAAAAAATTTTTTTTTGAAAAAAAATTTTTTTTTGAAAAAAAATTTTTTTTTGAAAATTCTCTAAAGCTTAAAAGTCCTAATGCTTAAATTGAAAAAAATAATAAATCCAAAAAACAAAAAATGACGGATTAAAAAAAAATTATTGTAATTTAAAAAAAGGTTTCTAATTATTAAAAAATTTATGATTCTTGCTCTTCTTCTTATTATTATTAAAAAAAATTTTTTTTATTTGTCCAAGCTTTACAAAAATATAATTTTCTAGGTATTAGTAAAAGGATGTCAGTTTGGAACCGAGTTGTCGAAGAACAGAGGGATTATTCGGTTTGGTTGCCCGGATATTGAAAGGTTTTTCAATAACCATCAACCTACTATTGGAGAGACAATCCCGATCCCGCTTTTTCCGATCCCGCTCCCGAAATATATATCCCGATCCCGGCCAATCTCAATCCCGAGCCGGGATCCGGGATCGGGATCACCATTCCTCAATCCCGATCCCGGGTTTTTCTCTAAATCCCGATACCGCTGAACTCTAATAAATACTGAGGGACTATGCTTACTCGTAGGACTAATATTAAAAAAAATATCGGTTGAAAAATAATAATAAAGTTAATCCCTTCTATAGGTGTCTATTGTCTAAGAATAAAAAAAAAATAATAATGAAAAAATAAAAAAAAACAATTATAAAAAATAATAAAAAATAATAAAGGAAATTAGAAAAAAAATCAAAAAAATTATCAAAATAAAGAAAAATTAAATTATAAAAAAATTAAAGCATTGACGTAAAAAATATCCCTACTCCCCTTACCCCCCTCTTCGGTTTAAACAAAAATTTTTAGTTTAAAAAATAATTTACCATCTTTTCCTCAACACATTTTTTCTTTAAAAAGCTTCCTCCTCCACCTCCTTTGTTTTTGTTTTCCCTCCTCCTTCGCAAATAATTATCTAACGAACTTGAAGAAGTTGAAGGAGAAGCTAGGGAAGTTGTAAATGAGCGGGTTATTGGAATATTATTTAAATTTTTTCGTTTATTTAAAGGCTTTTTCAATTCATCTGTAGATGAGGAAGTTGTTAAAAATGCTGTTTTTGTTTTTTCTAGTTGAAGACGAAAATTGGTAAATATTTTGGAGAGGCTGGTACGTCGATTAGTAGTGTTTACTTTGGTTGTTGGAATGTTGCTGTTGTTTTTATTAGTTATATCACCTATATATGAGTTATAAATTTAGGTATAAAATAGGGTCCAATATCTCTTTCCCGAAAAACTAACCATAATATAAAGGAGTAAAATAAAGTTAAATCAAAAACAAGAAGTTAAAAAATCTAAAATCAGACTAAAAAAAGGCATAGTAAGAAAGACATAAAGAATCAACGCCGGGCAGGATTGATCCCATAACCTCAGGTACTTATTACTATGGTTGTAGCCCGAACGCTCAGAGGTGGGTGTGTCGAGGTACAAGGTTTTCCATTGTTTCGGGGCGAGGGAGCAAAATATTGTCGGGGTATGGAGTCGAAGTACAACTCTAGTTATTACTAGGCGCTTTCGCTAAACATGTAAACCGACAAAGCTATAGGGGCAAGGATTCACCTTCTCTATTAAATAGATATGAACCGCAACCTAGTATAGTTCTCTTTTCTGCTTGGCTTATCATTTATACACTGATAAAGATGATAAAGACACGTACCTTCCAAAGGCTTTTGATTGAGCTTCTTTATCTTCATATCCTCTTTTCCCATACTTCCTTCACCTTCACAACTTGGAAATGTATTATTAAATGTTGCTGAATAAACCATTTTTGCTGTTTTCGCAGCCAAACCTTCCAATTTACTTTCTTTTTTATTATTTTTATTTTGTTCGTTTTCTTCTATAGGGAATCTTGAAGGGAGTAAATCAGCAATTGAAGCAGACATTTTTATACACGAAATACTTGAAGTCGTTGGTGTTGTCCCGAGTAAATTACTATTTTTATTTGAAAATGATTGGAGAGGTTCAGGGTCTTCATGCTCTTCCTCCCTATTATTTTTAGTTGAGAGATCCTCAGGGAGGTCCAATTTAGCTTCAGAGTCCTCTCCTTGTTTTTCAGAATCCTCTCCTTGTTCCATCAAAATTTCTTCCATTTTTGTATTATTATTTGGGGAGAAGAAAATGACTGAAGAAGCACATGGTTTATCATCCATCATTTGACTGCTAACAAGTATTTCATTATTATTAATATTAATTTTAGCAGCCGATGAGTCATTCTTTTCTTGTGAAATTTTGTGGTTTTCCCTTTTTTCTTCTTTAAAATCCATATCCTCGTTTAATTCCCCAACATTTTCTTCTTCGTTTTCTTCCATACTAAACGATTTAAATTTGTCTTCCAAAGAGTTTTGTTGATTCAAACTCGTTCCAAAGGCATCAGGCTGTCTCTCCAAACCTCCTTCTCCTTTATGACTTCCTTCTTCAGCGTTTACCCTCTTCATCGGCTCATCCACGAAATTTATTTTAGTCTCAGAAATTATTTTTTCTTCAGTTGAAATAATTTTTTCAATTCCTTCACCTCCTTCCTCTATCGTTGTTTCACCAAAATAAATTTCATTTGGAGGTGTGCTGAATAATAAAGGAGATGTGGAAGAAGGATCATCTTCAGATTGTTGTGACATTTATTTTTATTTTTATTAAAGCTGTTTTGTAGTTTTGAAAATAAAGGTATGGAGGTTTAGGGGAAAAAATATGGGTAGAGGTATGTTTGTGTTTGTTTTATAAGAAGGGCTGGATAAATTGATGAAAATAAAATCACAAAAAAATATAAGAGGAGATAAAAATTGGCTATAATAAATTGTGTGGATAATCAATAGGAAGGTAATAAATATTAAACTCTTTTTTTTTTAATTTTTTGTTGAAGCTAAAAGCTTACAAACCCCCTTCCACATATAACCCATATATTCGCAAGAGTGAACTTAAAGTTTAAACTTGTAAGTTTGAACTTAAAAAAGTTTATTTTATTCCTTGTTATAAAACAAAGTTTTATTTTTTGTTTTTATAATATTCTGATTTTTATAGAATAAAGTTATAATTATTTACAACTTGTTTTAATTAAATTCTGATTTTTACAAACATGTTTATTTAAAATTCTGATTTATTGTGTTTTAGTCTTTAAAAAATTCTGATTATAATTAATAAATTCTGGTTTTTAAAAACAAGCTTATATTTTCAGAATTAAATCAGAATTAATTTATTAATAGTATAATCAGAATTTTTAAAAATAAAAACAAGTTTAATTAAAATTCTGATTTGTTTTAATTTAATTCTGAGAATTTTTAAAAATAAAAACACAATTGTAAAATCAGAATTTTAAATAAACTTGTTTTAAAAGTTACAACTTGTTTTAATTTAATTCTGATTTTTCAAAACAAGTTTAATTAGAATTCTGATTTTTCAAAACAAGTTTAATTTAAATTCTGATTTTTTAAAACAAGTTTAATTAAAATTCTGGTTTTTAAAAACAAGTTTAATTAAAATTCTGATTTTATTATAACAAAATAAAATCACCCATAAATAATTCTGAAAACTTAAGTCCTTAAAAACAAGGTTGGGAAAAATTCAAGTTTGCGAATATATGGGAAGTTTGTACTCTTCGTCTTTCTAGACTACACCTAAAAATCTCACACAATTGTCCTTATTAATTTTTAACGTTTCTTTTTTTTAGAAAAAATATAATTAAACAGCTGTTGCTTTAAAAATATATTTTTTTATAAATAAAAATGTCAAGTGTGTAATATAAAATAAAAAAATATATAAATCCTAGAAAAATATTACAACATCCCACGTCTTCCCATTAAAATTTTTATAAAAAAAAATAAAAATATTTTTGAAAAAAAATATAAGGTTAAAATTATAAACATGTTATTTATTTATCAAAAATAAAACTTTATTTAGAAAAATACTAAGAATAGCAGTAAGAGAAAATAATCAAAATAATATGAAAAAATTCTGATTATAATTAATGAATTCTGATTTTTACTTATTAATTTTAGGTACTTGTGATTTAGAAGTACTCACACCTCGAAACCCTAATTATATTTTCAAGTTAGAGTAAAATAAAAAATCTTATTCGAGTCAGCTCGACGAGACTCGCATTATTTGAGGGGGGTGGTATAAATAATAGGTATCCTGAATTTTAATAGCAATAAAAAATTAATTTCGAGAGATTTTATTGAAAACATGCAAAAAGAAAAAAATAAATGGACATGAAAAAAATAATTAGAAAAAATTAAACGAAAAACTAAAATTACAATAAAAAAACTCAAAAATTTGAAAAATATATAGATTTTTTAATTAAATTAAATTGAAAAATTAAATATTCAAGAAAATGAGAAAAAATATTTTTGTTTTAAAATTAAATTTCCCACCTCAACAAAATTGGTGTTATTATTATTATAATTCTCATATCCACCATAATTTAATTGTTGTTGTTGCTGCCCATTTTCTTTTTCATTTTTTATTATTTCACGCATAATTACTCCTTGTTGTTGTTGTTGTCCCCCACCTCCACCTCCACCTCCATTAGAAGAATATAATAAACTATTATGTCCACTATCTATACTTTGATAGGAAGCATCTTCTAAAGGTAATTGAGCTAAAGCTGTACTAGCTACCACAGATTGTAAAATTAGACTAGATTGGGAATCTCTTGATCCTCTATTGCTTTCTTTAAAAAAATTAATTTTTTAGGACAAAAAAATTTTTATTTTATTTTTTATTCATAATTAGATCGTTTCTTCCAAAATGCTTAAAAATCTTCGGAAATCCCCGAAACCAAACCACAAAAAATTTTTTCGAGGGAGAACTGCATTTCAAAAGTATGTCTCGAACAAAATCAAAATGCTCCCATCCTCAAATTTTGTTACATTTTAATAGACGCTAGTGAAAATATTTGAAAATTTGGGAGGGCCAACAAGCGCCAGATTCCACCCAATTACTGGCAAGTTCAAATAGAAGACAAAAAAATTATTTCCTAAATATCCGGAACCTGACCATAAAATTTGGCGCGCCGAAATTTGCGGATTTTAATTTGCGGACCCGAAATTTGCGGACCCGAAATTTGCGGACCCGAAATTTGCGGACCCGAACTTTGCGGACCCGAATTTTGCGGACCCGAACTATGCGGACCCGAAATTTGCGGATCTGAGATTTGCGGACCAAAAATTTGCGGACCGACAATAGAGTCTACTGAACCTCGGAAATTTAAAAAATTTTAGCCTGCGGCGTTAAATACATGAATTCAGGCATCATGACCTTATGAGATGGCCATATAAATGATTTCTTCAAGGAATTTTCTTGATTATTTAAATTATGAAATAATTTTAAGATAGAAAATTGATAAAAATTTTGAAAAATCAAGAAAAAATCTTGATCTAGTATGAATCATGGTAAACTCTGCCGGGATCATCGAAAAATAAAATTTTTAATTTTTTCTTACTACTCAAGTGTCGGTCCTAAAATCTTGGTTCCGCAAAAGTCAGGTCCGCAAACTTCGTGTCCGCAACCTTCGGGTCCGCAAAATTCGGGTCCGCAAAGTTCGCGCCCCGTAAAATTTTCTTAACCCGAGTATGACAGTTTGGGTTAATTATGCTAATTTGTTAATATTACAGCCCGGACGGATGGCTCGGTCAATATTTTTTCGATAAATATCGAAAAATACCGAAAAATATCGTATCGAGCCGAGTTCTAATGAATATATTGTAAAACAGGTAAGCATCAAAATCGACATAAATTTTCCAACATTTTGGGATTGAATTGGAAACTTTTTTTAAATTTATTAATTTATTTACCAGTATTACTCCCTCCACCACCACCTCCAGTTTTATGTCTACCAATATCCATTTTCAAATCCCTCAAGGTTTTAACCCATAAAATTCTTTGTGCTTCTGTATTTGCTTTTAAAACTGTTGTGTTTTGATCATTTTGATAAGGGAAAGCACTCTTTCTTAAACCAAATTTTGTATTATCCCCTTCAATGTGTTCAACAACATGAAGTTCTCGAAGCTTAGAAAAAAGAAAAAATTCCAGTTAAATTTTGAATTTATAAATATTAGAATAAAGAATAAAATGCGGAGGAATTATTTTTGTGAATTTTAAGAAAATGTAAGTTGATAAAATATCTATTTTTTTAAATACCTTTTTTTCCTTTTTTAATATTTATAAAAGAGAGGGGAAGGAAGAAGTTAATAAAATTTTATTTAAAAATTAACTAGGAAGCAAGGAACTTACCCAGGCAAGGAACATACAAGAAACATGCCAGGAATCTGTCAGAACCCCTACGTCAATATATAGGAAAAATAGTTTTTTCAGTGGAGGCGGTTATATTTTTGTTCTTTACATATAGCAAAGTATCTCTAATTGAATAACCGGCCATTTTATTTTTATTTTATTTCCAATCATAATTCAAGAGGCTATTAGAGGGGGCCATTTGTTAGAGACAATAATAGTTTCAAAAATTAATTAAAAAAAATTTTTTTCTTCACTTACCAACATAGAATCTTTAAATACATAACCAGTCTTTTTTGAAGATAATTCTTCTCTTTTTGTGAAAACAATGTTGGATTCAAATAGAAATAGTTGAAATTCACGTTCTCTTTTAAAATAACGTTTGGGTTCGGATACAAGAAATATATCTGCAAAATTAAAAAAATTAATTACAAAATTTTAAAGTCCGCAAGAATTTGTCCGCAAGAATTTGTCCGCAAAAAATTTTTTAATGTCCGCGAATATTTTTGTCCGCAAAATTTGTCCGCAAAAATAATTTTTTCGTTAAAATTCAAAAAAATCACCTTGCATAACAAAATCACCAACATTATATTTCTGATAATCCTCAAAACTTTTTAAATGCATGCGATCATTAGCCAATTTTGGGATACTTAAAACAACTTCATAAGCATTCTAAAATTTGAAAAAAATTTTTTCGAATTTTTTTAGATTGGAGGACCCAGAACCAGGCTAGTCTTGCTGTTAAAATTGCGGATAGAAAGAAAATTGCGCGCGGATTTTGGGAAAATCCACTCTCCAACCCCGTAGTGGATATTCAGGAGAACACCTGTACTTTATGAGGGAACGTGAAGATATCGTAGGGTTTCACCAGAGCTGAAATTTTGGCAGGAACCGGATCCAATTTAAGTTCCGGATCCCGGAACTGGAGCTTCCGGTAAACACCCCCCCCTCTTATATAGCAATAAGTACCAGAAGGTGTAAACAGAATCCCCTAGGTCTGTTCGTAAAGCTAAACTTATTTTATTACTTCTATTAAATAAACAAAAAACACAAATTCACCTTAATCTCTTTTGTATTTTTTGTGGAATGTTTAAATAGCTCTTTTAATAAAACATGATATTTTGTAATTCTTTGGACAGGTTTAATAACTAAAGATTGGAGATCTTGCTCTAAATTGTGTTGTTCTTTAATTTCCTGTATTAAAAAACAAAATTTATTTAAATTATCATTTCTCTTTTTTTTTCAAATAAAATTCATTTGTCGGTATAATGATGAAAAAAAAATTTTTTGTGGACTTTTAAAAATTCAAAAAACGGAAACATTTATTAACACTAGTGGGTCAGTATTCTTTATTTACCATTTTTATTAAAAAAATTTCTAATATCTAGCTTTATAAATTTTGGCATCTTTATATCAGGAACGACCTGAGAAAAAAAAGACAGGTCGGGACTTAGAATAGACCCTGGGACATCCTTTGTACCAAACCCCATGGTCCAAAAAAATATTTTTTTCAAAAGAAAATTTTTTCCAACCAACCGAAAACATAGAACGCGCTTCCGGTAGACAAATTAAAAAATTATTTTCTTCTTTATTTAGGCAATAATCAGCATATAATTCCTTCAATTTTTCCATCCAGGCAATAAAACAATAACCAACATCTTCTGGATTTTGTTCATAAGAATGCAATTCGGATAGAAAGATTTTTGAATGGAATTGATAAAGCTCTTCAATATTTCCAAATATTTCTCGTTCCTTTCCTCGAATAGCTAAGGGGCACATTGATCCTGCAGTTTTATAGGCAAACAAGTAGATGTCGATACAGCGACTAAAAAAATTTGAAAATTTTTAATGAAATTAAAACCGGAAAAGTAATCAAAAAATCTTGCTTTAAAAATAATGGAAATTTATATACCGTAAATTACTCTAATATAAGCTGGTCTTCTAATTTTAAAGACTCCTACTCCTATGACTCCAGAAGTTTCTTCGCTTACTCATATTAGTACAAGCGAGACGAATGTGCAAGTCAGACTCGAGTTAAGACCCCCTCCCTTTGGACTTCTACTATTATATGAATCCGATCAATGAGAGATCGTAGATGATCAGGACTGGATCTGTGGCCCATAACAGGTCTACTATCCATACTATCAGGTTCTCAGTAAAGAATTACCCCTTTTGGACTCCTACTCTTAAATGACTCCGGATCTATGGGAGACCTGAGGCTGGGCCTGTGTCACATAACAAGTCAACATCCCTCCTATAAGGCCTTCAGATAAAAATAAAAACTTAATAAAAAAATGATAAGAATAAACTGAAAATTGATCCGCCAGAAAATTAAAAATTTTTTTTCGAAATATTTTTACCGCATATCCTCAATATAATCAGCCTCCGATTTAAGTAATTCTTTCATAGGTTCAGCAATTTTCTTTTTTTGATTTAATAATTCATCATCTTTTCCCCCACCCATTAATTTATCCTCTATAGCACTATCACTATAACGATCCAAACATAATTGTTCTGGTTTAGCTGGTTCCATTATTGGTGTAACTTGTCCATCTAACAATCCATTTAATTCATTCCTAACAGTTTGTTCACTTTTTGCAAGCATTGTCCAAATATTTTGAAGTTTTGTTTTTGCCAATAAAGAATATTTTTCAACTTCAACACTGTGGAAATCAGATGGGAAGGATTCCAAAAATTTTTTTGCTTCACCCAACATTTTACGAACTTCATAACGTTCAACCTGTAAAAAATAAATTGAGGATTAATTAATTTTTTTATTGAAGGGACTTCTAATGATTGGAACTTCCTCTCATACAGGCCTTAATTTTGGGACTACACCCAAGTAGCCAAGACACGCCCAAATAAGCGCGCGGCCAAGTAACTACCAGGAAAATCTCTGTACCTTAACAATTTTGGTACCGATCTCTTTATCTCGATAAGAGGAATCGTTTAATACTAAAATTTGAAAATTTGGAAATTTTGAAGCAAGTTATGGCCCTTAATTTTTGCTTGTATATTACATGACATGACAAGCCATGTGTCAAAGAGGTAAAATTTTCCCTAGAAACTGAGACTAAAAACTCCAAGAAAAGTTTGAACATATTCTGGTATATGTTTTTAAGAGAATAAAATTCAAGTCTTTCCATCTTACCTTAACCAAATCCCTCAACGTTAAACAATGTTCCAACAATTCTTCCAATTTTTTCCGTCTAGATAACAAATCCAATTTTTGTGCTTTTTCAACATTATCTAAAATTAAAACACAACTAGCCAATTCTCTATCTGACCAATCTATAACATTTTTTGCCATTAATTTAATTTTTACACAATTTTTGCATTTGTCAATTTTTGTATTACATTCAGTCCATAAACGTAAAATTATTTGTTGTCTTTCTCTTATTGTATCCTTATATTTTTGTACTTCATATAGACGTGATTCTACATGTTCTCTAGGTGCTTGTATACGTCTCATAAAATTCATAAATTGATCGGCTGTTCGTTGGGCGTAAACACTGGCCTAATTTTTTAAAATTAAAAAAAAATTTTTGGTACATGCCCGTTATACACCTCCACAAACTGATGCCACCCGACTTTGATCGACTATAACTTTTTGAAGCTTGAACCAAAACAAATGGATTTTATATCGATCGAATGCTCTAGATGAGCGCTATCTTTTTTCTAATTGGATAGATTAAGTCTGATCATTCATTAGAGTTAATAAGTCAAGTTATTAGGTCCCGTCATCTGAATAAATGTTAATGCTATAATGCTCTAGATGAGCGCTATCTTTTTCTAAACTGATTTGATCAAGTCTGATCACCCTTAAAATGATACAAGTTGTTGTGTGAAAAACAACGATTTCGGTTACTTATCGATTTGTAACATTTTAATGGACGATCAGAACTGATCTATCTTGTTAGAAAAAAGAGCTTATAGAGGGCTTTCGAATGATATAAAATTCATTTGTATGGATCAAGCATGAAAAAGTTATAGCCGGTCAAAGTTAGCTGGCACGCAGTTTGTGAGTGTATAACGGATAAGTACCAAAATTTAAATAGTAAAAAAGAATAAAATTCAAAAAAATTTTTGTAATAATCTCAACAAATTTCCCCACTGTCAGAATTAGTGTTTAGACATTTAAAATAAACTTTTGGAAATTTAAAATTTCCTTTTCCCTCGTACACGTGCCTGCCTTTCTTTTCTTGCTCTACAAATTTTGCTACAAGTCAGGATTAAAAATACCCAGGAAAATTCAAAAAAAACTTTTTTTGAATTTATTTTTTGTGCAATTTCGTACTTTCCCTATCGGATTAAAAAGTTCTTCAAAAATTAACCCAAAATTTTCCCCCAGAAAATTTTTTTATTTCAAAACACACCTCCAAAAATCGTTCTTTATGACTTGAATGTTTTTCAAGCCTTTCTTGTGTAGATTCATAACAATGTTCCAAACTAATCCAACTTCCTGATTTACAAAAATCGCCATCTCTATCTACAGAAAGGTCCTTTTCAATTGATTGTGATGTTGGAAGAAGCTGAAAATTTAAAAAATTAATAGACATTTTTAGATGAAATATTAAATCATAACTAGGAATAGGATTTTCAAGTTTATTAATTATTTTTCCATGGGCAAAGGTCTGAGGAGTCCTAAAAATTCCTAAAATATAAGACCTAACAAGTATTGGTAATGGATACAGATAAGTTCAAAATGCCTGCGGATATCCGTCTATATCCGCCGTAAACATCCAAATACGGATATCAAAATCCATGTCCATTAACAAGTTTGGTCCTAAAAACTCATAAGAATTCCATACCTAATCATAACTAATCAACAAGGAATGGAAATCTAAAAAATTAAGTGACGACTTTGCTCAGATAAAATTAGACACAAGGAAACTGAAAAATTCCTTAATCTTAAATCCTGACACAATAATTTTTTCCAGATTCAGGCCGATCTTTCCTAATATAAGCCTTATATGAAATGAATTCAACAATGGATATATTCCCAGTGATGGGTAGGTTCTCTAATTAGCTTTTAAAAATGCGGCAAAGGATCCTTCCCGATTTTCAAAAGACTAATCAATCCCACACTGTTCGGTTTAATCATTATTTTTTTTTCTTACCAATTTTGTATATTTATAATAAGAATTTGCTGCAGTTAATAATTTATATCTAATATCAATTAATCCAACTAAAGATTGCCATTTTGCTTTAACATCAGTTAATAAATTTTCAGCTCTAACTCTTGTTTCTGCATGAGATTCTAAAGCTAATAATGGTAGTGATGTAAAATGTTCTTTTTCGTTGTAAAAACGAGAAATTTTTTCTTCAAACGTCTAAAAATTAAAAAAAGATTAATGGATACACGCAATCACCCCCCCCCCCCCCCCCCGACCCTTCAGTTCAGTCAACCGCAGAGCTTATAACTAAGACTTAAGAAAATTTGATATGAAAAATTTTGTGAGTGATTCGACGTATATCGCCGAGCTGAATCAGTTGATACTATAGGGCTGTTAACGGTCGGTTAACCGGGGGACAACCCTGAAGATCTAACGATACTTACGACCTACAACTTTTGAAAGTGATTATCAAAAAGGAATATCAATGTCTTAAGGGGATATAAGGGGATATACCCTTAGAGAATAAGGGGATATCGATTGATTTCGTGTGATTCCACGTCAAACTGCGGACGGTAGATGCCCTATCTCCACGGCTAATGGCCTATCTTCCGCAATAAATGGCCTTCTTCCAAAAACAGTTTTGGTACTAAAAGGCCAAAATTAATAATTTTAAAACACCTCAATTTCAATTCTAAATTCATTAAAATATTTTGTTTCCAAATCAGTTTCTTGTTCATTTCCAGGAATATGAAAAAATTGACGTAAACGCATTTGTTGTCTTTCTATTGCTTCAACAATTTCATGTGCCATTTGCCTAAGTTTGCTTAAATGGATGCTTAATTCTATTCGATTTGATATGTCTTTGGCAATCTAAAAATTTTTTAAAAAAATTTTTCAAAAATTTTATTTTATTCCTTACATTCATAGCTTCATCTTCTAAATTTTGCAATTGTTTTGCAGCTGTAACTATAGCTTCTTCAACTGGAATTGTGGAATCTGCAGCATAAACCATATGTAAATTTTTAGTTTTTATAAGCTTAAATTTAAAATTTAATAATAAATTATAAAAATGTTTTTAATATTATCTAAACGATTGCCTAGCCCTTGGGACAATACGAGAGAAAAAACCAGACTTAAAAAATATAATGAAATTTCTGATTTTAATTAACCGGAAAAAGACGACGGTGCCGGAAATCAGAACTGTCGGAAAGTAGTTAGTCCCCCGCCCCCGTCGTCAGGGGCAGAGGGGTCCGCAAAACTAATCCCTAATTAATTCCATGTAATTACATCACTAATTAGGACCATCCTAAAGGTTTAGGGACATCTCATACCATCCCAAGGGGTCTTATCAAAGATAACTGATATAAGAAAAGGTAATTAATCCCTAATTAATTCCATGTAATTAACCAATTAATTAACCCTAACCTAAAGGTTTAGGGACATCCAATACCACCCCAAAGGTTCTTATCAATGATAACTGATAAAGAAAAAAGGTTCCGTGAAATTGCCCTCTAATTAACCCTTTAATTAATTTATGGTTAATAGTCCACTAATTAGGAATATCCGGTACCAAACCCTCCAAACCAAAAGGTTTAGATCCCTCTCATCCAAAAATTAAAAATATTTATTTCCACTTTTCCTTTTCCTTAATCCTTAAAAAAATTTCCTTTAATTTTCTTTTGTATTTTTGTTCGCGCAGCGTGCTGCGTTCATTTTTTACTTTAAAATTTCTTTTGAAATTTCTGGGTCAGCTTAAAACTTTTCCTTTTTCCTTTGAATTTTTCAAAATTTTCTTTTGTTAAAAAAATTTCTAGGTAATCTCTGACCTAGAAAAAATGTTCTATTTTAATGGAAAATATTGACCTTAAAAAATAGGAAAAATGTTTAAAAAAATAGGGAAAAATAGGAATGGAAATTAAAATGGAAATAGTATTAAGTTAGAGAAAAAAAGGAATGTTAAAAAATTGAAAACCCTTTGTTTTACTTCCCGTCTAATAGTCCTGGAGTAGTATAAAAGGAGATAATAATTCCTAAATGTAATTAATTTAATATGAACTCCAAAAATTTCCCAAAAATTTTTCCTGAGGTTGAATTTAACGTCACCTCTAGCGGGATCACCATTTCCAGTCCCCGATTTAATACACCTCGTTTTATTCCCTATGACCAAGTTGGGAAGTGTCGTTCATGTAAAAGTACAGAAGTTGAACTAGATTTTATAATAGTCAAAGAAGGAGTGGTGATTTATTGCTCGCGATTTGAAGGAAGTCGTTTTGCTCCATTTGATACATTCTTCGATTTACCTGGACATTGTTTTTTCAAAGTAAAAAACAAAGGACGAGTCTTTAATGTACCCTACAATGCTACTACACAAACTGTGGTTCCCTGCCCTAAGGCCGAGCCTGCTACACCACAACCAACCCAAATCCCCAACACAATACCAGAGGAGACATCTCAACACACAGATTCACTTCCATCAAAAGAGGATATAGACGAATTCTTCCAAAGCTTAAATGCTTCAGTAACGGGAATACCAACGGATTGAAAAGATATTTAAATGATTTTTCTATGTATTTTTTGTATTCATTATGGATTTATTTTCTAATAAAGAATTAAAATTTAAACTTCCTTTTGGAATGATTTTAGCTGGTCCTAGTTCCAGCGGCAAAAGTACATTTCTTTTAAAATTCATTGCAGGCTCTAGTGGACTTATCGATCCCAGTCCAAAATCAATACTCTATTGTTTTGGTGAAATGAACAATATTGTACCCCTTTTACAAAAATCAGGAGTCGATGTATTTGCAGGCGTCCCATCAGAGGAGGTGATTAAAAAATATCCAAAGCCTCTACTACTGATTCTAGACGATTTACTCCTATCTATTAACGAAAAATATTTATCAGAATTATTTACCAAAAAATCCCATCACCAAAATTTCTCCATAATTTTTGTTACACAAAATTTATTTGACCCCAAAATTAAGGTTGCACGCCAAAACTCTCAATACATTATTATAATGAGATCCCCCAACTCTATGCTTTCTGTCAGAAATATAGGTGTACAATTATTTCCAAGACAGTTGGATTATTTCCTCGATGCTTATCGGGAAGCAACCAGACATCCATATGGATATTTGGTCATAGACATGCACGCTTCATCAGATCCAACTCTCCGTCTCAGAACAAACATATTTAAGGACGACGAAGAGAAACTTATCTTTATTCCAAAAAATGGTTAGTCAACTAGTTCATAAAAACATTGATTTTTTAAAATTATTATCCAAGACAAAATCTGAAAGAAAACGTAAAAGACTATTGAGACATTCAAATACAAATCAACTCTTAGCAATAGCAGAAATTTGCCTTAATATTGTAAAGTCCAGGTTCCATCTAACTACCCAACAAAAGAGACGTCTATTACCCTATTCAGAATTTGTTCGTTGTATGAGCAGAGTCAGAAGTGAAAGAGGAGCAAGACATGTTATAAATCAAAAAGGTGGAGGTGTCGGAGTGTTTGCTGCCCTCCTTACACCTATACTTATTGAGGTCGCAAGGATGATAGGGAGCGCGTCTATAAAAGAACCAAATTTCAACTAAACTCAATTTTAATAATGGCAAATAAATTTATTCTGGTCCCAGAGGAAATTTACAAAGGACTTACAACTCATGACACGGGTGAACCAAATTTGGATTTTATTCGTCGTGGTTTAGAAAAAACCAAACGTAAAAAAGAGACACCTAGTGCTAAAAATATTAATTACAATCAGGAGTTTAGACGATATCTACAGCTAAGAAATGAACAACAGAATAGACCAGTCAAAGTAGAGATGGTGGCTAGTTCAAAGGGTATCATGGCTCGTCCTACAACAAGCTTAACTGAAGAAGATGATATGTGGACTCAAGATTTCTCATCCCCATCTTTTCAAAGTCGATCTGATACGACGTCAACGTTAAAAGAAGATCTACCCTCTTCATTACCAACAGAAAATATTACCACAAAAGATGAGAAACCCGAAATAAAAACTCCCAAGTTCAAGAAAAGAACATACTCTTTCAAAAAATTTAACACAGTTAAATGGGCCCAGAGGAAACCCTCAAGTAGGAGAAGACCTATAAATAGGTTCAGCCCAGCATTATGGAGATAAAAATGGCAGACTATACAAAACTTTTGCAAAATCTTTACAACAATCCTGAATCGCCCGCAGCATTTTCAGGTGTTGATAGACTCTGGAGAGAGGCTAGAAAAGTCCTCAAACATATACCTAAAAGAGTTATACAGGATTATTTGGAGGGTCATAGGACATACACGTTGATGCGCCCGAGGCGCATTCATTTTAAAAGGACAAAAACTATACCTGCAGGTTTTATGACAGATGTTCAAGTTGATCTTGCAGATTTTCAGAAATTATCAAGACATAATCAAGGAAATAGATATTTACTATTAGGAATCGATGTCCTTTCCAAAAGAATATTTGGAGTCCCAGTAAAATCAAAAAACGGAGAGAATATGGTAACAGCATTTGATTTATTATTAAAACAAATGCCTATGAAACCTCATCGTATATTTTCGGATAAAGGAACAGAATTTAAAAATTCTCTAATGAAAGAATTTTTTCAAAAGGAAGAGATTCAAAAATTAGAGGCAACTCACTCTACCGTTAAGGCCTCCTTGGCTGAGAGAGCTATACGTAATATTAAACAGAGAATTTATCGGTACTTTGCACAAAATAAAACTCTGGATTGGGTTCAAGTCCTTCCCAAAATTATCGAGGGAATAAATAAAGCAAAAAGCAGAGTACACGGTATGCGACCTATAGACGTAAATTTTGATAATGCTCAAGATGTATGGGAAATGATATATGGTGACGTATTTTCAAATAAAAGGATGAGACCCAAGTTAAAGAAAGGAGATTATATCAGAATGAGCGTAGGGAAAGGAGTATTCGAAAAGGGATACATCCCAAACTGGGGAGATGAAATATTGCAAATTGAAAGAGTTAAAGATAATGTTGATCCCATTCGCTATAAAGTCCAAGATGAAAAGGGTGAAAAGTTTAAAGGATCATTCTATAAAGAGGAATTAGCTCGCGTTCGTAAGGATGCTGATACTGAATATAGAATTGAAAAAGTTGTGAAAAAGAAAAATAGACCAGATGGAACATATGATCTTTTAGTAAAGTTTATGGGATATCCTGAAAGAGAGTGGATTCATGAGACGCAGTTAGTATAAAAGAACAGATTTTTTCACTATTCACAAGTAAAAAAAAATGTCAAACACATTTTTTGTCTATCTTCCTAGCAATGTCCCCGATTACCCCGATAACAAACCAAATAAATTTAGAGTCCATTTACCAAAACCCTTATATTTTTCTGGTGACTGGGTTTGTGGTCTTCATAGCATTAGCTACCCTTATTCGTGGCCTTCAACTATCGGTACCTTAGATGAACAATGGATTGACATCCATTTTACTAGAAATGATGGGCAAGCTAGTGTTATCCGTGTCCCCATCCCTAGAGGTTCACATACTTCAACAGAAGAGTTGCTTCAATTCATAATAGCTACTTTACAACACCAAAGTAATACATTAGAATCTTCGCCTTTGGATTTACCAGAAACATTGGTTGATAAACCCAAAGTCCGCAGGCCTAAACGTAAGTTATCCCCTGAGGGTGAACTTAAATCACTCCCACGTCTATCGCCTGAAGGCGAACTTAAATCACTCCCTGTTCTATCATCCGACGAAGAGGAGCTTAAAAATCTTCCACTTCTATCATCTGATGAAGAGGAATTCAAACCTCGAAGCAAATCACCAGAAAAGGAACAAGAAAAACCAGTTAAACAGCCAATCCAACCCCCTCCGCAACCTCCAATACCTACTCCTCAACCTCCACCACCCAAAACAAAATCTCCAACTCCATCACCACACCCTCCACAACCGACTCCTCAACCTCCAAAACCTACACCACAACTTCCAAAACCGACTCCACAATCTCCAAAACCTACGCCAGAAACTTCAC